AGAACAAGGTAACACAACTCGAAACGAAGAGTAACAACAAAACCAGTTCGCAAACAACGACCGTACAAGCGAAGGGATACGCGAGCTACACGTCCCCCGTGGATGTTACACGAAAGGTGTTTCTGTTCCACGGTAGAACAGAAACGTTAGGGTTTTCATTGAAACGTGGCGATGCCTGCGGGAGCTTACTGCCGCGGGATTACCAGAGACAGTTGGAAATCCGATCAAAACAAATGGACTGCGAAAATACTCTCCCTTCCTCCTGTTATTACCTCGTCTCCCTCTCTTCTCGTACCTTCACTCCTGGCGCATATAGTATCAGTCGTTTGCGCGGGAAGACTGTTACAAACCGACCTGGATAGCCTGGAGCTCGTGGATTTTCCCACAGAGAGGAGACAGCCGGGCGTAATTTGACCGATCGATACGAGGAATCGCTGATCGCCGAGTAATGAGCGACTCTGATTTCTTGTCCTCTATCTCTCAGGTCTCGTTCGTTTCACGTAGACGGACGATAGAATCGGTGGCTGGTTTTCATCTGGCAGGCTAACAAACACAAGGGGAATAGAAGAGCTCGTCTCGGGGGTAGTTTTGGGCAGCACCAAGCGTCGATTGCCACCGGGACGAAGGGAATCGAACCATTATCACGTAACAGACAGATTCGAGTTTGAAGCGTTCCCACGTGGAATTTAAAGCGAGCCGTGTTGTACGTGCCCCATTTTAAGGTTACTCTCTTGCTCAAGAGCTGACCTTGATGGACATCCAGACTTTGGAATTGGAGGAATTAGGGGAAAGATTCTTCGGGGTTTAATTCATATCGTATAAGACACGGTGGAACATACAATACGTATGTTTCTGTCGATTTTCTTATTTTAATGTTGCTTTACGATTAAACAGCGGGATTTTAATAAATCTATATCTAAACAGAAAGACTTTAATATAACAGAATCACGAGTCTAACATAAGTCTTTCAAAAATAGACAAAATTGTGTACACATGAAGAGGCATATATTTGACTCTAAAATCAATTAGAAAAGAAAAGAAGAATCTTAGTAACATGGGATCGACGACAACGTACCGACTTTTAAAAATGATTCCGTGTAAAAGATAGGAAATTTAACTTGTCGAGTCCTTCTAATCTTCGTACAGTAAAAAAGAAAAAAATGAAGAATTGCTCCATCTTCGCATTCCTAATTCCAAACGCAGGCTGAATAGAGCATCGCAAAGAGGAAAGAATCGGAGATTAACCTGGAAAAGTCATGATTAGAAGCACCGTCCATTCTTCAGCAGGTTGAAGATAAAGCCAATGGGATAAAACATCTAGTCGGAAACGAGAATTCCATGATACGTGGCGACTTGAAGCGAACGAGGACGTCGAATGACCGAAAATCGGCTCCATAAATCTTCTGAAATGCCGTGGCGAAATTATTTGCGGGACACGGAGGTGTCGTGGATGTAAATTGCCGCGCTTCGACTTCCTACTGGCGCCGGAAATCGTGATAACATCGATGTGCCGGGGCCAGTGGTATAAAAATCGGTAGCTGCTTACGCCATCACGTGCGATCGTTCGCACGTACGACCGTTTTTATCCTCGCGTCCAAACTGAATTGTTCTCTCCTTCCATCAGCCCCCCAAAAATACAAAAAAAAAAACAATAAAAATAAAACAGATAGAGACAGACACAGAGAAAGAGGGAGGGAAAGAGAGAGAAAGAGAGAGAGACGAATAAAAAGAAAAATACAAAAAAACAAGCGCGTTCGTCGTCGAGGATATTCAGCCGTTTATCGTTTGGTTCGATGGCAACGACCGGTCGGATTCATTCCCTCTGGCTGAATACATTTCAAATATAATGGATACTGGATTATAGGTATATTTTCTCCATGGGCCAAGCAAAGCCAAATGCGGGATTATTGTTTCATAACAGGCTTGGTGGATTTTTCCGGCCTTTGTTTTCCCTGTCGACGTTATTCGATGAAAATTGGGGTCACTTTTGAGGGTATCGCGCAACCACGCGACGTCCGCGGTAATATCGCGCGAAACATACTAATCGCGAACCGTTCGTTGTTTTTTTCCATTATCAAATTGGTCATGTTATCCACAGCTTAGTGTTGTGAACGTTCTATGAAGTATGAACAAATATCTTTGACCATTAATTAACCGAGTAACATTACCGATGAAAAACTACGAATGATATGTACGATGAGATGGCAGGGCAATGACTCGTTGTGTGTCATTTTTCTTTTTCTTTTTTACACGTTTCAAATCGTGTGATTTTTGATTCCACGAAAATATACAGCTATTTGATAATGCGGAGAAATATTTCGACTACTGACAGTTCATTTTCCTATGCTTTTTCGCTGCTGCCGGTGACGGACGAGGTTTTTAATCGTGACGTCCATTGAAACGATGCAAATATGGAAATGATCTAGCGCGATGTAACGAGATATGACGTTACATCGGCAAAGAGAGGAGATACACATCTGCTTGCGCAGATACGCTCGATTTATGCAACGTTCGTAATCCATGAACTGCTGTAATATTTGTAATTGACATATTCGTAACGTTCACAATATGGACATGTTGTTTGGCGATGCGCCAATACTTTGGTATTTGCATGAAAAAAACATACGATATTCGGTTCAATTATATTTTATACTTCGGTTTACGTATGTGACCGTGTAGAGATATACCGGCAGTTGATTATCTTTGACACGATGTATTTTAATTGCGCAACTTTTTAGATAAATTAAACCACAATGATTTTCTTCTTTATAATTATCGTACAATATCATGACCCGATTAAATTAATTTTTGAAACAATACAACCACTACCTTTAAATGTTAAACTTTACACAATTATTTCGTTGCACAACAAATTTTTCATTTTCGGATTCTTTAATTTCTGAATTATGAGGCAGATTAAGAAAGATTCTCCAAATTGATGAAAGGACTATCCATGCCAATACAAGCAGTGATGTTTAAAGAGTAAATGTATGTTGTGTACACCACAAATAATACAATATAATATTGTTTGAATAAATCATTAAACCATCATTAACTCGTAAACATTAATCAAATTCGTTCATCGTTCCTACAAATTGACTACAAATATTTCTGCACAATAACATACATTCAATCCTTACGAACTCATCGATCAGCCAGAATCATTGATCGACTAACGCGTCAAATAGGAATTGCGAGCCAAGAAAATCCATTCAATTTTTCCAGTCAATTTTTCAATTCATTTTCTTTCTGCGGCCATAAGTCATAAACCACTTTGCACCTGCAGCTCCTCGTCACCCCGTGCACGTATGTCCATGCGTCGCGCCCTATTGCGCCAGCACACGCAGTTACCACTACAATCATCAATCAGGGGAGCCCGTGGATCGATAAACTATCAGGAGCAGCCAGTAGGAAAATCCAACTATCAGGAGGTTGATCGAAAATAAAAAACAGACATCGCTCGTTATGGAAATATCGAGGTTTTGGCCGGGTCTTTCCCTTTTCATATGAGGAAGAAGCGACATCAAATACCAGAGATACCATGCAAAAATACCACCAACACGTAACACTTGGATAATAATAACGTTATACCCCATTTTAGACGTTCGACGCTCCCTGAAAGCCCTTTCATCCGTTCCACTCTATCTGTCTATCTATCTCTTGTTGAAGTTAAGATGACACCAACCTTCTGTTCATGCTATCCTATTCGAAGCGTCCCATTCGATCGTTCGAAGGGCTGAATCGTTGCGACGTCGCGGCGCACCCTCGCCGCTCGAGCACCCTGCGTGCTCAGTCAGAAGGGTAGCGACCGGCGGCTCGTTCTAGATAGTCCAGTTTACGTACAGTCATTCGTGCGAAGACAACGCAGAAAAGTACGACAAGTCACGTGTCTAGTTTTTTTACATGCAAATAATTTTAAAATCCAATATCTTACCAACCAATTACGTATTGACAAAACTTTTTAGTAGAAGGGACACTTGAAACAGTTGAGAAAATGTTATATAAAGATTCTCATTAAAACAGTTACGAAGAACCTTTTTATCTTTAATAACTGTCACGAAAAACTAGAATTTCCAACTATTATCCATTTCGATTATGGTTCCTATTTCAGTTCCCATATTGGTCCTGTAAACGTTGCTCTTCCGATTCTATATCGCTTTCGAAACGGTTCTAGAATCGATTCCTGTATCGACTTTTCCCTAATTGATATCACTGATTACTACAGCTGCAGATCACACTGTGTATGTGCGTATTTTTGACAAAATTATTATAGACAATGGGGAAAAATTTGTGAATATGATTTATTTCTAACAAAGCGTTGAAATAAATAAACCAGATACATATTTTTCACACTCTCACTTAGGGACATCGGATGTTTGCGCAGATGGGGACATCTCTTCCCTACGGGCATAAAAGATTGTGGTATATATATGTACACACTTATATTCTTCGGATGCTTGAGCATATATTTATACGTATATGTGTAGAGCTATACGTATACATAGAAATTGCAACAGTTTTCAGGCCCCGTTTTGTGCTAAATGTTATTTTCGCACTGTAGTGATTAAATAACACGAGAATCAGAAAATCTACAAAATTACGCTCATCATATTTCCCCCTGTGATCTTCGTAGAAAAATTTAGAGTATTCAGACTACAGCTATTTTTCTGTGAATTTGTAAAAATTTGTGAGTTTCATTTTTGTGGTCGTTTCGAAAATTTAAACACGATCTCGTTTCAGGTATTTTATTAAATTTTTGGCTCGAAAAATGCTGCCGCAATGTGGTACAGAGTCGTGTTACACGATTATCGAATTGGGAACATAAAAAATCGAAATAAAAGAACTATTGGTAGATGAGAGCAATACGCAGCACTGCACGTCACCATCGCGTTAATTTAAATTTTTATGAAGCCACTACCATGTCCGGCGTCACGTTAATTTAAATTTTTCTGTCGAAATTGCAATCTTTCCGATCTTTCCATACGAGGTTCTTCGTTCAGGTCTTGGGCTTCGAGGATACGTACATATGGCTCAAAGACGGCAATGGTGGTCAGAAGAAAAGGGGTGGAGTTTGGTTAACAAAACCACTAAATTCAAGCAGCAAGGTAATGGATAGATTTTTTAGAATTTGATTAATTTTTTTAATAAGACATATGGATAAAACATGATTTTCTACTTGCGTTATATTATACTTTTTAGCCATTTATATATCTTTTCATGCTTTATTTCGATCGTTTTGATACAAGCTTTAATCCTAGTGATAGTTCCAGAGTTAAATTCTTTTTAAATTACGATATTAGGTTCTACCAATACGATTTTTCAATTTTGAAGATCATTTGGGCAGATCAGCAGAAAACGATCGAGCGACACAAGCGCGGTTACGTGCCATTATCTAGCTTCGACTCGGAGAAACCACTGATAAGGGAGAAGAGACTGGAGGTAGATCAGTATCATTTGAATAGCATCAAGGAGGACGATAAGGATTGGCAAGAATTTTGGCAGGAAAATCCTCAAGACTCTAGACTGATGTTCAATGACGAACTTTGGGATCAAGAGTGGTACCTGGTAATTAAACTCATTCAAAATATCCTTAAAAATTGCGTAAAAATTGGTTGAAAACGTAAGAAAAATAATTCAAAAAAGAAAGGAAGAAACACGTAGAAAGAGAAATCAATAATAAGTGAAATCAATAAAAAGGGATTGTTGGTAAAACATTTAGTGGATGACTTTGCTATCTGACGATAAGGTAAGGCTTCCTTATCAACTGTTGCAGCAAGACACGAGATCGAACAATGCTCTCCCTAAGCTGGATTTGAACGTACTGTCCCTCTATCGACTGGGGGTAACTGGTCGAGGCGTGAGAATCGCAGTTTTGGACGATGGGTTGGAATATACCCACGACGATTTGCGAAATAACTACGTGAGTAACGAGAAACTTTGCTTCGAGCTACTCTTTTTAGCTCATAGATGACGAGAGGGACCATTTAAAATTGCACCCTGTAATTTTTTGGATATTTTCTATTTTTTTACTTCTATCAACGATTTTTAGCTTGTCAATTAATCTTATAATCAATTTATTGAATTAATGCTAGAATTCTGATATTAGTTACATTTTCTAGTTCATAGGCGACCGAGAGTGGACTTTTAAAATTGCATCCTTTGATTTGAAATTTTTAACCTTTTTTTTTAATTCTTTTTTAATCCTGAATTTTTTAACTCTTAAAAGCTACCGTCAAAAGAAATCGTGTTAATTCCATCGTGATTGAAATTTCATCCCAGAGAGAGAGAGAGAGAAAGAGAGAGAGAGAGAGAGTCTTTTTTTATTTTAGAAATCAATAATGTCTAACAAATGAAATTAAATAAAAAAGTGAAATTGAATTATTATCATCCAGTGTTAGATGAAAAATAGAAAATTTAATGTAAAACGATAATGTTAAGAAAAACTTCGCTCGAGGTGAAATTTAATCCAGGATAACCTTCCAGCGTTACAAGATTTCTATTTTTGCTCTTTCATCTACCAAGATCATTATGTAGTGGTTTACTAGTTAATTTTATGAATTTGCTGATCTAGGATCCTGATATTAGTTACGATGTAAACGAAGCTGACGATGATCCTTTGCCACGATACGAATTATCAGGTATGAATTATCAGATTAAATCGCTTATACGCTTAACTCCGATATACGTTTTCAGTGAATATATATTATACAGATTATCCTGAAGTAGTATTACAATCCTATCACGATAAATACCAAAGGTAGAAACGAAATTATAGCTTTTGGTTGAGCTCACATTCTTCTAACCATTTATTATAAAAACTAAATACGTCACTTTATATATCATATCGTAAGATTTACGCGATCAGCAAAGTTTATACCGGACTGAATGCCGTAACTTTATACGTCATATCACAAGATTTGCATCGCCAAGGAGGTTTATCAAGATTTACCAGGAACATAATATCTCTGCAGTAATCCTCCAATTTTCATACTTTAACCTTGCCCCCGTTTTATCAAACAAAAACGACTTAATACTCTAAGATCTCCTCTATCATAGAAACAAAGCACAGAAACTTACTAAAATTATAACGATCAAAAAATACGATTTGATCAAGAATGACCTAGAGAAGACAGAAAGGCTAGACATTCAAAGAAACACCCGTCTAATCAGCACAAATCGCGTTTCCTATAAGAATTTTTCTTCTCGCGCGTAATTCCATCGAACATTACTTTTTCGCGCGTAACAATTATTCAACGCGTCCTCAGGGGTGAACGGCCATGGAACGAGATGCGCAGGGGAAATAGCAATGGAAGCTAACAATCGGAAATGCGGCGTGGGCATCGCTTTCGAGGCTTCAATCGGCGGCATCAAGTTGCTCGATGGTTTGGTAAACGATCGCGTTGAGGGAGAAGCGCTAGGATACAAACCGGAACTGGTGGACATTTACACGGCCTCGTGGGGCCCAGCCGACGATGGGAAAAGTCTAGAAGCTCCTGGCAGGCTGGCCAGCGAAGCTCTCGAACGTGGTATCGCTATGGCGAGTATAGGGGAAGAAGGAGAGGGATAAAGCGAATCGAAACTTAACTCTTTGAAACTGAACGTTTTCGTTTAATCATAGACGGATGAGTCGAGTTAGCGAACAGCAACGAGAGCTCGAGACGCTTTGTGTCACTCTCGGCATAGATCAAGAGTTTCTAATTACTTGGAACGTTAATTACCTTGAAACGAGAAAGTTGTATTAACGTCGTCATTATAACACGCCCACCAGGAAGAATATTTTCTTCGTCACCTGGCAAACTGGTGGAAACAATGAAAATTCATCATCATAAAAATCTTGCTTTTTCATCCGGACTAAAAAGTTTCCTGCAATTCTAATTAATTCTATATGAGAATATACGAGATACGCCATAAATGGGTGTCACGAAGCAGGTAGAAAATACACGGCGTGCTAGTGAACAATTAAATATTCATGTAGAATAGATCGTGCGAAAGGTCGAGAAGCATAGGCCTCGATGCATATTTATGTCGTGGCTGGATATTTATCAAACGATTCCTCGTGATAACGTCATTTTATCTGATTCGCGTAAAAATATCGTTTTCAAGCTGGATAAAGATAATAACGCATGTAGTACACGGCTTCTTAAAATTATTGATTTGACACGATTATTCAGGGCAGAGGCGGCAGAGGTAGCATTTACGTGTGGGCTTCCGGGAATGGGGGCTTGAGATCGGACGACTGCGGATGTGACGGATACGTAGGAAGCATTTATACCATCGCTGTGGGATCTGCTAGTCAAACTGGAAGATTTCCATGGTACGGTGAAAGCTGTCCCGCAACGTTGGCCACCACGTATAGCAGTGGCGCTTATCACGATCAAATGATAGTAAGCGACATTGTCCCTCTCTCATTTTCTATCACAATTGAAACTTGATAACTTGAAAATCTATATGAGACAACTGATCAACTTCACTTTCTATCAATTGCTTAATTTCATTATACAAATACACAATTAACGCTCAATTCTCAAGAAAGAAATGACTTACTTCTATAAAATCATTGATCGCAAGAAGATGATACAGTTAATTCCAAAGATAATATGATATGATTATAAGTAGACAAATGATGAATAATAGTGTTAATAAATATAAATACGATAGTGTCATTTTCGCTTTGGGAACCAGAGAAAGGATCGAAAAGGAAAATCGATAAATGAATAATAAAATTATTTTAAAAATGGTAATTAATTAATTTCTAAACCTCTAAAAATTGAATTCGTTCTTCTTTGAGTACCTACAATTCGGAAAATATTGATCGTGAAAACCTCGTAAGATGCGTCTTCAGTGGTTTCTGTATGTTAACCATTCATAAACTCAAAAAACTCGATAAAACAAGATCTTTATAATTTAAAGATTTTAGACATCCTTTTTGGCTTTGAAATGTTCGAAATTGAATCGTTTGAAATTTTGGATTATGTTAGAATGAATGAAAATACTACTGGGGCCATTCCCTGCAGCTAATGGAATAATTTAACGAACTGTCTTTTTATGCTTTCAGGCGACAACAGACTTAAGAAACACCTGCACCACGGGTCATACTGGCACTTCCGCGTCCGCTCCATTAGCTGCAGGAATCCTGGCCTTAGCTTTACAAGTGAAGTACGAGCTCGTTAGTTTCCTTTTTTCTCGGACCCACTGAAATATCTGTTCTATTTAGAGGCGGGTTGGGGCCATCACATTTGCAGGAAAAATCGTTAAATGCATTAGCGCGACTATGGTTGAATCTCGTTAAGATTCAACTAACTTCGACCACAATCCTTAAATGGGTCTGCAGAATTGAATATTTGTACGAAGTAGAACATGTATTAGCACCAAGGAGGTCGCGTTACTAAAAATTCCGTCACAGCATGGAGAGGTAGAGTGTAGCAGATTTATATCAAGCAGATATTGGTCATTTCTGCTTGAACTTTAGAATCAGCAGACTAAATATTTCCTTCATTGCGTTCATTTTTTCATTTCCTTCTCCCGTTTCTTCCTTTATTCCTCTCTTTTTGCTATTTTATTTATTTCCTTTCCTTCTTTTATTCTTTTGCCAATTTCCTTTTCTTTCTTATGCCTCTCTTCTATATATCAATATTTAATTAATATATATGTGAAATACATAATACGCTATCAACAAAGTTAAAACGAAAGGCAGGAGGAAAGAAAAGTTCCTTTCCGTATTCGATATTTATTCACCACAGATTCCCCTAATCTCTTTTTCATTTATGAAAACGTTGTTACCGGAAATCTGTGGCTCCGACGAGGAAACGCTCGTAGCATAAATCCATCCATGCGAAATTAACATAATACGGGACTCGATTAAAAACTTATCGTTATCTCGACCGTCAAGAAAATTTCAAACAAACCACGTGTTCGTTTCGTCTATGAAACTACGAAACTTGCCGGCATCAACGTTTCCCAAGGGTTGTTTTAAGCAGTTCAGAAAAACACTTTGGGCTATTTTCTTGCCTTGGACCGATCTAACTTGTTCCAATCAGATTACGAAATATTCCATCATTCACACGCTATAAGTACTTCTTCGAAACATAGTTGCAACCATCAGAATAATTTATGTATTGTCCTTGAAGCAAAGATTTAACCTGGAGGGATGTGCAGCATCTCATCGTTTGGACGTCAGAATATAATCCACTCAGGTATGTTTAATATTATATTAAATTGTAACATGTATTTGTAACATGTATTCTTTAGAGAAAAACAATTTTAAAATCGGATACGTAATCAGTTAATTCCATATCATCAAAATTGCGATTTTATTTGATTTTGAGTCTAAACATATATTTCCTTTTTATAATTTAAAAATGTAGCTTGCATTAATACTAACCTAGTAAAAAACATTAAAATAGTGATGATATAAAAATACGAGTTAACTTAATGACCGTATCTCTGGCTGGATCTGGTTCTTTTCACTTTTAGCCATTTCATATCAAAATATATCCTTTTTAGTCATGCAGTGACATTAAAGTAAAAAAAAAAATTAACAAAAACGTACTTATCATACTTTTCCCTGTGCTCTTCACTTGCCTCGTCTTCTCCGTTTGCAGAGATAGAAACGGAACGAATTTATATTCCAATCCGACATATCAAAATTTCCAAAACCTTAAATTTCCATAGTTCAGAAACGACCCATATCTGAATAATCTAATCGATATTCTTAGAAACTAGGAACCTTTCTCTTTGATTCCTTTTCTTATTCATGTCGATATCACTTTCTGTATTCGAGATACCATCGGTTGAAGAGAAACGTAATTTTTAATGCAACGCTATCGCTGTCCTTGTCACACACCCGAAGTTCTCACTCGCACCATCGCCATGACCTATCCCACTGGCGCGCCACGTGCTCTGGTCAGTGACAGGCGCTAATGCGGTTTTTCGTTAATACTACTTACGTCGTACATATTTCCGGGAGAAAATGTAGGTCAACGTTATTTGGGCATGCCATTCATGACCCTTTACGTTTTCATTCTGAGTTTGATGTTTTATATTTTCGAAATGGTCAAGCTATCGATTTGAAACACCACTGTAAAAGATATACTTTTTTCTACTTATGAAGTATGTTAAATTCATCATTTTTGGGATATCGTAAATCAAAGTGACGAGCATGCAGTGTACATAAATGGTATCATAAAATTCTCGAACCCGGTATAAAAAACATGAACACATCCAATAAGAAATTATCATATTCTATGTTCTATTCTGTTTCTTTGAAACACGATTTCGATGTAATACATACTTGAAAATGTTTTTCAAAATATTTGATATAATTGCTTGAAAATATTATTGAAATTATTCATATAAAACGCTGTTTACGACGCGCGTTTACATTTTTATCTTTATGTTATTTTGATATGCTTTCCCCTTAACAGTAGTTTTCAGTTTTTGATACGTTGTAAAGTTAATCTGTATGATACCATTTTTTCACGAGTGTCCTCTTTTAAACAGATATATTATTATGCAGACTTCAAGTGTAACGATACATAAAAGCTTGGATTACAAAATCAGCTTGAATCAGTATTCACAAATAGCTAGTTTGCCATATTGTCAGAGAATTAAAACCACTAGAACGCCAGTCCTAGCTCCAGTTCGCGAATTTTATCGGAACACCGTTTAACGATAATTGTGATCCATTTTAATTAACTGCACTACATTTATATCCATCGAAATGCTTATCCAATTTCAAGCAGATCGCGGTGTCGCTATCTGGACGTATCATGGTTGGATTATTCGGGGAAAATATCTCGCCGAATTTCCCAGGTTATGAAAAAAACTTTGTCGCGATATATGAAGCCCAAGTCGATCTCGTTTTTCTCCTTGGGCACCGCGAACCGTCGGTGGATTGAAGCATTGTGTCATTCTTATTCGTTCCGCGACGGGGAGGAAATGTAGGTCGTGCTGTTTCAACGAGAAACGATAATTGCAGTGAAACGAACAGGAAGCAGAGATCGTTTCTTTCTTCACTAAAGACAAATGCCACGGCTTCTGTGCTGTAACGCGCACCTGATCAACAGTCAGGGTCAAGATGTGCTTGCACCATTCGAGCTTTCCTTTTTATACATAATGAGCTATATAATAAATTAGTTCATAATAATAACTGTGATTTTATTCTGATTTTATCCCGCTCGACGATAAACGAGATAGACACATTATTTTGACACGAAAAAATAAATAGAGGGCTAAAATGATGCCAAAAAAATATACACGTAGGTTTGGATTTATTAAGAATGTTCTTCATGTCGAGAATTTCATGTCAAGAACTTCATTCACGTCGTTCAAAGAGCTAGTGCGATACGTCGAATTCAGTGACCTGATTGCGCGATTGTATCGGGCTCTCAGCGAAATGCGACCAACAATGCCTTATTCTGTATCGATGTTGCTTAAATAAAATCGTTTGTCGGCTAAATCGATGTTTGTTAAAGTCATAGATTATCGATCATTGCATGCGGGTTTTTATAAAAAATCAAATTTTTATGGACGTGGTTAAGACTTTTATCTATCTCTGAATATTATGATTTACTATGGATAGAACTTGGAATCTACTATGGATATCTTGAACGCTTTTGCGAATTAAGTATATTTCCGTCCGTAAAATAATCCTCAGAAAATTTTAATGTAAAAACATAAAAATTCCGGAAGCAATTTAGAAACGAATATTGGATTTTTGAAAGGAAGAAAAGGAAACAGAATTACCGGCGAGTGTTTCCCTAGCAAAATGGAGGTTCTTTGCCGCGTGTAAAAAGGGATTACACCAACCTACGTCGGAAACCGTATCATTTTACGTTGGCCGTTCTTTCTTTCGCGCTGGCAGACCCAGTAATTGCATCAACTTTCAGGGAGAATCCAGGCTGGTTCAGAAACTCTGCTGGACTTTGGTTCAACTCACGTTTCGGATTTGGACTTATGAACGCGCACGGTTTAGTCTCGGCCAGTTACAACTGGACTACTGTACCGGACAAAACCATCTGTAAAGTGGAATTCGCTAAAGCGTAAGTAGAATTACGAGAAAATTTCGTTCTTAACTTTCATCGCTTACAAAAATAATTGTATTTATCATATAGGAGTATTTCAGTGATTCAACATTTTCTTCGAAAGGAAATTAGCACGAATTCAAACATATATTAAACCATATCTCGTATTAAAATGTGTCTGAATAAAATTACGGTTACAAATTAGTCAAATTTACAGAATGTGACACAGATATCTACGTGTTCGTTAATCGATAATGTATACGTGTTCCGTTGTAGCTGAACGGGCTACATGCAAATACTACGCAAGCGTACGTAGAACGTAGCACACAGGGTCCATTTAGATTACCACGGTTAAAACGTAATTCTGTACGCTGTTTTGAACATCGTGAACCTTGAATACTAAAACAAGCTTCCCAGCTTGCGAACCTGGTATTTCCACCCACTATTGCGCCAACTTTTACATGCATTACATCTCGACTTCGACTAAATTCATGAAAATTTAATCACTCTTCAATTACTAATCGATGCCCTTTAGTTAGTTAATCCGGTGATATATTAATCATAGATTTAGAAGTTAACGAACACAAAAATTTAGTTCTCGATTTAATCCTGACGAAACTTTAAATCTAATTAAAATTAATTCTAGAGAGATTCATAAATAAGAAAATTGTTGTGTCAAAGAACAGGAACGAGTTACTCGTCGTCCTCGGTTTCATGAAAGGAAGTTATACTTTGATCATTTTATCCAGTTGAAGAATATTAAAAGATGCTTGTTTCCTCGGGGAATGCAGGACGTGTACTTCTCTCTCGGTAGAAAACAGAGACACGAATTACGTCGCAAGCAGTTTCATGGAATCAGAGCTTGAGCTGATACTCAGGTTGTGTCCTTGGTCCTTTAAAAAGCGCAGCAAAGCCCGGTGACTTTTTACGTCGTTAAATTCAACATACGGGAAAGTGCTCTTCACTCATTCGTTGCTGCACCGTAAGGGAAGCATAGTCGAAAAAGTGGAACGTCTCGAGGACTTCTCGTACATTCCTCACCCGTCAGTTTACAGTTTCTTCAGATAAGAAGTAGCCCCGTCTCCTCCTTTCAACTAAACATATTCCGACACACTACAGAGTGCAGTCAACATTTTTTGCAAATTTCCAATCTAACATTTTCGTGTCACATTTCTTCTAAAAAAGTATTCTACTGAAATTTCAACGTCAACAACTTCCTTATCCTAAAATATTTGTAGCTGTTGTTTCAACAACATTGTAACTTAATTATCAAATAAAAATCAGAATATTCCGATAGCTCGTCGAAGCGACTAACGTTTTCATTGCACTTCCTTTACAAAATTCCACTATCAATATCAATATAAATAATTCTCTTATTCTCAAATATTTACGATTATTATTTAACTATCTCATATTTGACTCTATTTTTACATTAATTATCAAATGAAATTTAAAACGTAATCGACTTTCGAAACGCTCTTAACAGTCCAGACTGACATATTCAGTGCTCTTTATTTACTTTCAGAAAGAGTTCCACTGGAATTTCCATAATTTTCTCGTTCTGCGATATGTAGAACTGTACATTTAATTAATATCTCATGTAATTATCAAATGACGTTTAAAGTCTTATGACTATCGAGATAGAACGTGCTTCGGTCTTGACAATCGATATTCCAGAAAGCTTCAACATGTTCTATTGACAAGACACGAATGTATCCGGAAGCAACCCACAATTTACTCTCACACATATAAGAAAATATTCCGTTTGGCTTAGAATCGACAAGGAGTTGGCTTATGGAAATACCAGGCGGTTACGATTCGAGACGGAGAACGAGTGTCGATCGGAAGGAAACGAGATTACGTTTTTGGAACACGTGGAAATCGAGGTCACCCTCGAGTACAGTCTTCGTGGTGCACTTCAGATGTATCTGACTGCGCCCTCAGGTATGCACTTTTCATTTGTGTCAACTTAACTCGTCTCTGATATTTGTGTATATGCTATGAAACACTCGACAGTAGGAGATAAAAAAATTTATCCAAGAAAATAATCGCTTCGAATATATAGAGATAGAGGTATATGAATATCTAGTACAATTCGAATAGATTGTGAATATTATTCTTGTTATAGTATTTTCAAAATTATAGTCGAGGAATATTTTCCCATTGTCAAACGTTTCCCTGTTCTCATAGCTGGAACGAAATACTCTGCTTAATCTTTAAGCATCAACATAGACAGTGAACATTCCGTTTCCAATAACATCGTAATATTATTTTTTAATCATAAACAATAATTTTCCTACTCTTTGTCGAACATTAACTAACGATGAAATATTTAATTTCATCTGCTTGATTTTATACAGCGCGCAATGTATATGTACACGTTCCTATGGTAAATGTATTATCTTCCGCAATTTTAATTGAAATTGATACCATCAAGCAAGAATTGGTTTCAAATTTTACCAGTATAATTATGACAGTCGTATCTCGTTACAGTGCTAACGAAATTTCAAAATATTTCGTGTAGGACAGTACGGTACAATACATACAAATATTCTCTGATAACTGTACAAATACTTACAACGTACAATTACAATAATTTAGAAGTGTGCCAATACTTATACACGATAATGTAACTATAAAGAGGCCCTTTATTGATACAATGCCTCGACGATTTTCAATAATGCATCCGCGCTGACCCGAGGTTTCTGTTCAAAGGCTTTAAGGATGAAGTGACGCGTAAAACTCTCGTATGCACTGGAAAGATGCGTTTGAATGTAGATTGAAATGTCTGTTTCGGTCTGTTGCGTATTTATCGCCGCGTAACACAGCTTTTACGGCGTTTGCGGCGTATGACGAGAGAAAAATGCTCGCGAAGATTCGCGAGAAATAAGATTTTTACAGTGTACACACTTGCAATCGAGGTACACGTCGCATCTCGAGATCGATTTCGTGTCGTGAACTACCGTTTCCAACCGGAGGAACAGTCAGGAGTGTAGATTTATGGTCGTTGTACAACCTTTTACTTTCTAAAGAGAAATTTAGCGAAAAATCTTCTACTTTCAACCTTTTCGACCCTTGAACTTTCAAAGGTTCTACGTGCAGGCGAGTATTGTGAGAGATGCATTATTCTTTTGCACTTAGCAAGCACTTTCATGATATCTCTTTCTATCAGTTCTAAATAATTAAAGCCGGAATTTTCATAAGAAAAAATTATATGTTTATTGTGTATATATCATATAAAATGTTTATAAAATAAAAAATAAATAATAAAAAATAAATTTTTGTCATCTATACATATACATTTATATCAGATTGTTGAAACGATTCAGAATAGGAATGCACCTCTATCATTCGAAATATATTCTAATTGAAAAATTGTGAAACTTCTTTATAAGATAAAATGTTCTATGAATTTGTTGTTGAAAAAATCAAAATAGCTGCTGACTGCCTGAGTTTCTATTATCATGCTCGTATCTTTAATGTTTGATTTATTTCCAGATGTAATATTTAAACTGCCGATCATAGAAGACTAGTTGAATAAGATCAAGCTATTCGATATCGATTCGTCATTAATAATTTTTATCTTCTGTAGTATAACCGCACCGCTTAGCAAGTCAAATATACATAAGTTGAACACGCGAGAAACCGAGTGAAATTGGTATATTCGAAACGGTGAATAAGGAGTTTATTTCACAAGTTACGATACGAGTGTAACACGTGCGTTGTGTATAAAATAAATTTCTATTTATCAAGTAATCAAGTTTCTAACACTTTATGCGTTTTGGAAAGAACAGGTAATATGACGTAAAAACGAGATATAGCAAGATTCCACCGTAGCAGAACTGAATCGTGCTGATGAATTATTAATTTTTTTATCGAATAAAGATGAAACGCCTCCTCGTTTTGTTTTACATTTTCCGGAAAATTTATAACAGCAGCATATGCTCTGCGTTCGACGTGTGATCCTCGTCATCGCTTGATTTTAACTACGTATTCCATAAAGGACTTTTGAAAAGATATCCCGCGATTAACAGGTTAAATAATCGCACATACCATGATATAAAAGCTCACAAAGAATAACATTTGTAATTATTATTTTTCTCTGCATTTCAATTTACGCAACTGATTTGCATCGCTTCTAGGTAATCGATATTTATCGATAATAGTTGTTTATTTATTGTGAATTTGTCCGTTACGACCAATATACGTAACGCTTCTATAATGTCACACAAAATGTAATGCCAAGAGTGGAATAAACTTGTCATACAATCTAATGAAATTAATTCTTTTCGCATGGTCTCAAGGGACACGGGTACAGATACTAAAGCCAAGAAAATTGGACGATTCAACTGCGGGTTTCGAGAAGTGGAAATTTATGTCTGTGGCGTCATGGGGTGAGGACCCACGTGGCAGCTGGTTTCTAGACATTCTCGACGAGGTAAATCATCATAAAAAAAAAAAAAAAAGAAAAAAGAGAAAAGAGAACATTTCCTATTAACCTGACAAAGTTACAATTTCTTCCCCATTGAGTAACAACGAATGGGATTTTCAATTGAGTGGAACCTGTATATATGTACTGTATATATGTATATATGTATTCGCATCTCAACAGATCGGACCAAAAGAGAATAACGGCACGATAGAAACGTTTACGCTGGTTTTACATGGGACCAGAAAAATGCCAGAATACCGAAAAAATGGGCCACGAATTTATAACCAGGACTACAATCGAATGCAAAACATAGTAAGTATTATAGAATTTATCGGTCTTTCAATGAATTGTACACGTGCTGTGTGCTCCTCCCTAATATTTTTTACATTTTACATAAAAAATGTACATGTACATTTGTCACAGAACGAGGATCAATCATCTACATTCAAAAAGAAGCTGGGATTACTCATGCAAGAGACAAACGATATCTATGAAAAAGAATGGTTGGAGTTTTTGTGAATATAAATTCTCCGACGAATTAAATTGCCCTGTATTGTGCGCCAACGAAAATACAATATCCGGTTGAATAAAAATAATAAAAATAATAAAAATCAATATACGTATATACCTAAGAATCTTTCGAATCTCAATTCGTTCAATTTCGTTTCCATATTATCTACATCTTTTATATTGGTTTAATCTATTATTTTTATATTATCTTATTCTTCTATTCTCATATCTTTATATTATTTTATTATGTTAAAATCGATCTCTCGTATCACTGAACGAAAATAATTGATAACACAAAAGCAATTAACAGATGATTACGATACAAACAGAATTGTAAAAGAGGCTACATTTTCTAGCAACTTGGCTCAAACGGATCTACTATTTTCCTTTTCAAAGGAAAATAGATTAGAAGAAGTCGTATTAACTTAATTAATAATTTAATTTAATTAATTTTTAGCAAGCACAAAGCTCTTTATTGTCGACGAGTAGTACACTCAAATTCCATTTTCTGTGCAAATGTCTCGCTGTTATGACATACGGAAAATTTTAGTGTGCAAGTTTTCCTTGTTCCATACATCCACTGTACCTAACGTCTTTGTGGTGACTTCCAACTATATCCTGCAGTCGCGAAATTCTAGAAGGCGACTTTAGCGTCAGGGGACTCTGTACTTTACGATGAATTAACATTCACAATCCTCCTGAAAACCTTCATCGTCTTCAAGTCCCAGCAGGATTTCGCAGTAGTATGTCAAACATTTAAGATTTACTGAAATAACTCACGGTTATAATCCTAGAAATTACTGAAAGCTTCTGTTTAATTTAAAAAGTGGGCAGTATTTTTATATTTCTTTTAGCAAGTTCTTTTATTTTTTGCACTTCTATGTTTCTCCATTCCCGTATTTTATATTTGTGTAGGGATTTCCATATTTTTATATTCTTACGTTTCTTTTTTCCTTCTAACAATTTTCCTGTCTGGAATGAAAATATTACAAAAAGTTCCAAATTCTCATTCTTTGAATATTTTTGATAATAGACAAAATTGACGAAAAAATTAAAAATATTACAGCTTGAAGTTTACTTGTCACAACATTTTCATTGGCTACGTAAGGGTCAAACGTAGATTTACTCGTCTGGAAGTATTCCTAACTCTTCAATGGCACCTTTTCGGAAGGATATTATTACTTGGTTCATGGCAGCTGGATGAAGAGTAAGGAAAAAGTATTTAAGACATCGTGGAACACATCTTAAATAGAACGTGACCGAGTTCGGATATTCTTTCTCCTCTCGAGTAATGAAATGTCTTAAAATTCGTTCCTCTCTAAACGAGCTTTGATAGTTCTACGAAAGTGTCGCTGTGCTTAAATGCCGTGTTACGAGGAACATAAATTCTTTATACGTACATAAATACCAGCACACTCTCTACAATTGATCTAAATAGATGGCGATATTCATTCTGAGAATTTTAATAAAACAATCAGAAAATTCGATGAAGTCTGCAAATTTCTTTTAATCTTCGTAAAGTTCTTTCAATCGTCTCACCCGTCAATCATTTATATTAAATGCCTTCGTGTATAAATTATCAAAGAATAATAAGTATAATGAAAAACATGGCAATACAAATATCAAAATCGGTTGAAAAAGTGATTGAAAAAAATGTATATACGTAAGAAAAGAATTTAATTCTATTATTTTTCAATGGAATTTTTATCATAATATAAATAAGTAGTCTAATACTTGTGGCTAACATTAACGAGTAAAACGAATGACAATTCTATCCAAAATCATACTTTATCACCCTTTAACATTCACATACACGTAATCGTCAGAAATACAATCTTCGCAGGAGTTCATTCCTCGCGGTCATAAATCATATCGTAATGCAAAAATGCGACTTATGTAAAATCGTAGGAATATTTTGAAGTAATGCATACCCAAGAAAACATTTGTGGTGGAATATGGTGGAAGCTATTAGCGTGGCTCGCTAGCTATTTCATCCTTTGAGAGTAAACCCAGATGAAATGTTAGAGGAAACACGTCCGTTTCGCATTTTTCAGCTACGAGGCATAATTTGCACGTGTCATTGTAATTTTCCGCCAGCATGAAGAAACGAGCAACGAGCTCGTTTCATCCCTTCGTTTCTGATTGAAAACTCACGCTCCAGATCAAAGGAAGAATGTGTCGGTTGCGCATGATATTTGTGAAATTCACTTTTCTATTTCAACTCAGGAAGACGGATAGCTGTTTGTCTCGTGTTCAGAAATTTAATTTTCGCTAGAACGATGGGTGGAATAACAATAATGCAGGCAACAACGAGGCACACATTGTGAGCCAGTTTTGCGTGTTTTATTTTTGATTATGAAGCAAATACGCGTTCCACTGGCGGACGAGACAATGAGAAACGGTTGTAATAGGGGAAAACAATATCGGTGGATGAAAGCCGGGAATCAATCGATATACAACGGAAAATACAGTTCTTCATGGAGAATTTAATTAAAACACGAATTAATCTGACCACTATGCAAAACGTGTTTCTGGTTATTAAAAGCCGTTTGCTTTATCGATTGACACGATATTACCGCGAATTAATCGTACGTATATTGATATTATAATTGACGGACAAAAATTACAATGCAAATGAAAATCACGATACAAATAAACTGATAATTAATATCAAAAAATGTAAAAAGTATGTACGGCAGTGATTTTAGTAAAAACTGAACGATATCGAGCGTGGAATTAGTCCAGGAATTATAAATTCGATTAAAAGGAGCTTTCGCCGAAAGAAAATCCGTTTTTATCGTGTTTATCCGGAACTCCAAAGAAAGAGTTCCCGATCGATGTATAAATAATTACACTTTCTAAATGGCCGTGAAGGTGGTAACGTGGAAGTTGTATCAGAGAAATGGTACAAAAGCGAACAACTACTTTAAAGTAGCTTTCTGTATTCAGAGCACACGAATGAATTATAAATCAAAACTGTCGCGCTTTATAAATTTCATTCTTTCCTCTCTGAAAAAGAATACTTAACTCTAAATTTAACTTAACGCTAATATTGATATTTCACTTTAGAATCTTCGAAATGGACTGCAATTTCACTCTTGTTAAAAATATTATGTTTAAACAGAAAAAAAGTCTTAAAAAAAATCACTGTCCATTTTTCAAACAGTACAAAGGACACTGGCGAAAGAATAGGGAGAACTAGCTAGGTGAAAGAAACATAAAGAAGGAACAACAAAGCTCTCGAAATTCGACTTACTGCGAGCGCCTATCATAGTGGTTGCAACCACCACGTAGCTGCGCTGCCGTCGACCTGATAATGGGGTGAGTTGGGGGTGAGACGGGAACTATTCGGCCAGTAGCATGCCGCCCTTCGTGCTATAAACATCGTGCAGCTTACTTGAAACGAAACGTCGATGGTATCTATCCACTACATTTGACTTCTTCAACCGCTGTTTCAACATCTGCAATCATAATACAACGACGTCATCAGCAACACACTTCACAGAGTGAAACCGCGTGAGTAAATTCTTTTAGTTATTAACGACTTTATCTAATTATAAATGCAAACATGGGTTAAATACAGTTCGTACGAGGAAATGCAAGAAACGCGGTAAGAGGGTGTGTTAATCGTACGAGCATTGCCTTCCACCGCAATTAGACAATGATAAAGGGCGTGACGATGCGAATGAAGCTGCCTGAATGCTGCATCCGCATAGTGTCTTCCTGAACACAGACGCGAGTTCCGCACTATTCATTTAACATGCTGACTCTTTGGCGAGTGGCCGCCGCGATTTCGAACTTCCACGCAATACCGCCACGCACCTATTCGAGCTTATGCGAAAGAATTCATTGCATTCTTCGTGTTTTCATGTACGACGAGAGCTATGGAAAGCTTTTCTCAAGCTTTTCCAATATTTTGATGTACAAAAGAATGGAGACGAGGGAAAACTGAATTACGTCGAATAAATCTATCGTTTGGGGTAATAATAATAAATAAATTGAGGATCTGTAGGTATTTCCGGAAATTATGTTTGAAAAATATTTTGAAATATATGTGGTGGTAAGCAGCAAGGAAAACTTAATCGGGTGAATTACATGGTTTTGGGTAATAATAAATAAATGTTTGCCCATTTATTCGAAGAAAAGTGTTGCAGTGCAGAAATAAATATAATTGGAGTAGACCACGTATCTGATTCTATCGGGGAACAAGTAGTTCATGTCGTTGGAGTTTACCTAGTAGAAGTTCACAGATCCTTCGTACTATGTGTGACATTTCACCTGTCTAATAGAAGTTCGCGTTTAGATAAGTAGAGTCAATAAGTAGAAGTTCGTTTAATCTGGAACTAGTTAAAATTTTGTTCCAATAAATGGCATTCAAATACTATTATCTTCTGCATATTCAAACAAATTTATGGAATATCTTTGGAAAAATATTTCGAAATACGAAAGAGTATAAATAATCGAGAAAATAGAATTAGGTCGAGTGGATGGATTACGCATTTATTGGAAATTTAGAGCAACAGAAATGTAAACAATACGCAATCCACGAAAATATAAAAAACATCAAAAATGTAATACTCGCGAATATAACAGAACTCTGGTTACATTTCGTTTCTACAATTGTATTAATAAAATATGAATTTGTAGGAATATTCGCAGTCTAACAATTGCAAACGTCAATCTTATTAGTGCATATTAATATTTAAAAATTTATGTATTCTATTATATATAATCTATTTTTCTAATTTATTCTCAATTTTGTGATGCAAATACATCTCGTTAAAAATAACCGAGTATCTGGATATTTTTAAACGATACATAAAATATAGTGAACCAACAATATCTGTTTTTTATACAAACAACAAAGCAACGATTTCTTTATCTATATAAAAATATGAATTTGCATAAATGAATTCGCAGATTAATAATAAATATTTAACAATTGTTGCAGTCAGTGTACTATTTAATAGTATTTTATATCATAAGATAGTTAGCGCAGATAGGTTAAACCAAAGAAAGTTACTTTCTCGATGCAAGTAACTTCTCGCATGTAGGGCGAACTTTCCCCTCAACAGGTCGGTTATACTCCAGGAAAAAAAATCATTAAACCCCTGGGTAATCATTGCGTGACCAATACAATAGTTGTGTGGCGGAGTTTATCTTACCCTTGCGTTTCACTCGCGCACATTCATCTAGTGTAATTAATGAAATACACGATTATTTGATAACTTTGTTGTATCAACGACGTTTACTTTTCTTTTTTTAACTTTTTAATTATGCTCCCTAAAGGGTATTTGACTTTTTCTTGCGCATGAGAGGAAAAATTCTTTGCGTAAATAAAAATTTTTTACGAACAAGGAAATGGGGATGAGAACAAAAGAGGCGTACGAAGTGCAGTTAAGCTTTAAAAGGGATAGATTTAAAGATCAATCCCTAGGTAGACGTTGCTCCTTGTGTTTAATTTATTTCCAGACATCGTATGGCCGTGGACAATTTTTTAATACAAACTGTTTATTCAAAATTTAAGAAAATGATGAACGTGATACCTTTTTGTCAACCATTGCAGCAGTGAAAATAACAAAGAAGTGAATGTTAACTTTGGGATCATCTTCGTGTTTCATTTAACGACACATCCAACAAATGTGTAGCTAGAAGATAGTATAAAAGGAAAAAAGCTGATGGTTCATATACTTCTCCATCTTGTGTCCTTAGGGAAAATATATTACTGCCATGAATCGTTCTCCGTGAAACATTTTCAGCTCGCACTACAAAGAATTCAAACGTATTTTTTCCTTAACAAGTAACATTTTCATGACGCTCCAAGATTACTTTAGATTTAATCTTAATTACAATTGCGCTCAATTAAATATACTGTTTTTTTAACTTTTATATTCCAATATTATTCTTGTTCGAACAAGCAGAAACGTTTAGTAATAGAAACTGAAAGAAAAATTCAAAATTGTTATTATTTTCTTCAAATTTAAAAAACAACAAAAAAACACGATTGTGAAAAAAATGGCCTAAAGAATGCGGCAGCGTTGAAGAACGATAAATAATGATAGTAGGAGTAATAGTAAAGAAGAAAATAACGCATATGAATTGTAATATAAAAAAATTCCAACATGGAACAGATAGTGAGTAGTAAATTATACGAATGATGTTTATTGCTCGTGTTAGCGAGCCGAAGAGAGTGTGGCAGGGAAATGAAAGCAGCAGCCCAGAAAAAGTTCTCCGAGTGATTTTCTTCGTTTCGAGTTTCGAGTTTCCAGCGTGGCTCGTTGAATGCTCATTGAATCCGTGAAACGCATGTGCATCGATGGCTATTCAATGCTAGCCCGAATTCCACCATCTGGGTTAATAGCGGTCGCTTTTCGCATATCAAGTAGCATCGATTACTTAACGCGTTATTAACTAACCTCACCAAGAGAAACCCTAAATAATCCGTCGAAATGATTCCTCGGAGAGAAAAATACGAGAAACCGTTTAACACCGATGGTTTCACTATCAGACATCGGCGCGCTTAAAATAACTCGTTCTTATTTCAAAGAACATGAATATTAAAGTTATTCGTGGAAACGTCAAAACCGACTAAAAATTAGAGTCAGAGAATGAAATAAATGTATACAGCTCGAAACGAAAACAAATGGGAAGGATGAATCGAATCGAAATATTTATGAAAAAAAATTGCTACGTTAGGAACATGCGAATAAATTCGTTCTAGAGCGAGATATTATTTCAAAAAATACGAATCGATCCGTGGAAATGTCAGAAACAACTAAAAATTTTATCGAAGAAGCGGAACAAATTTATACAGTTTGGCACAAAAACGAATCAAGAGGATAAATTGGATCGAACAGTTTATTAAAAAAACTAGCCGTATGAAAATCACGCGAATTAAACTCGTTCTAAACCGAGTTTTGGCTTGAAATCACGTGAGTTTCTCCGCGCAACGAAATATTTTCCGAGAAAGAGGGATAAAATGCGTATTAGAGGCTGTGGTATCAGCGCGCGGGAGCAGATTATTGGAAACTTCAATCGATAATCGAAATGCAAGACATTTTTGTATCCGCGAATATATCACTGCACCGATATCAAACAGCTGGCCAGAAATACCTACATATCCTACCGCAAGTTCGGTTTAAATTATTGGTGAATCCGATGGAACTTACTTCCTCTCTCTCTCTCTCGCTCTCTCTCTCTCTCTTCCAGTTCAAGCTTTCTATCGAGAAACTTTGCTCTGCTCTTTCACTATGATAAGAGGTCGCTTTAACAGATGGTAATTAATCGCGTATGGAAGCAGGAAATTATCAGTTTTCCTTGATAGGACGATTATCATCCGGCATGACTATTGAAAACCATCGAGATTAAGAATAGCTTCATTTGAGAAATGGAAATTTTTGTCACGATTCGAGCCTCTGAATACATCTTGCTCCTCCTTTCCTTCATATCTTTCTGCTATCTCTTTTTTATCTTTTTTTCCATTTTTTTCTAACGAATCCTGGATCGATACTCGTGCAAGGAACTAAAACAAGATCGAGTTCCAAGACACTTAGTTACCTAAACATGTTATTAACCGAGTTAAATTAACGTAGCAAAGAAATGAATGTTATTTAATTCTTGAAAAATACTGTAGATTTATTCTGGTTATTCGACCAAGTTATTGTTAAAAATTAGAAAAATAACACAAGTGGGCTTGCATTTTTCTCCTTGTGATCTTCAATGTTAAGCAAACTGGAAACAATTATAGTGATAGCTCTGTTACGACCGATCGCGGAGAGACGCGGTCGCGAGGAAAACGCGTCAGCGAGAGGCGTAAATTCTCGCTACGATTCGGTTAATCGACGCCGCGAAGTAGTCGTTCCCCTGTTTCGGTTAAGATATTCCAACAACTTATAACGAAGGCAGTTACGCTGGTGCGTATGTACGAGATGAATGAGTGACTGATCTGCGGATGTGTATACCCGGTCGAAGGATGTTGACCGTTCGAAGGATGTAAAATCAGTGATGTTCGGAGACGATGCTGTGGCGAAGGACAGCTAAGGATGGGTGTGTCTAGCGCACGGGGCCATCGGATTTGTTGGTGCCGATTTTAGTTAAGAGAGTGAGGGAAATAGGCTTCGTTGTTAATTGGTTAAACGAAGGGTCTTAACCGCCCTCGAGAGAAAGTGGTTAATGGGAGGAAAGTTGCATCATACGTGAGAATAACTAACTTTCCCTTGTCAAGCTGTAGTAGACAATAGTCTTTAGAAATGCTTCGGAAACAGACGTTTGTTTGGTTTGAAGGACCTCGACTAGGAAATGCCTGAGATTTATGGAAGGTTCTTGAGACTATTGAGGGTACGCAGTGAGTATCCGAAGACATCTGGTTGCCATCTTGCCCGCGATGTGTGGCCTGGGCTAGGTAGAGTGTTACGCGACGTAACAAGCTCCATAGATGAACTCGCGCTGTTTCGGAATTCGTGGATTCGATTTTCGTAACGACGCCAATGGGGAAGCGCTTTGACTCGAAAAGATAC